GAGAGAGAGAGAGAGAGAGAGAGAGAGAGAGAGAGAGAGAGAGAGAGAGAGAGAGAGAGAGAGAGAGCTCAGCGCCGGTACAAGTAACATGTGGATCATTCATCATCGTTCCAAAGGGACCAAGGAGCGGATGTATAGAGTGAGAGCCGTGATACCCTCTGGTAGGTAGGTAGGAAAGGGGGGAGCAAAGCAATTATGCGCTTGCACCAATTCAGGGAATGCATTCTGGTGTCTACGAAATTGTCAAAAGTGTAAGTGTGCGTTTTGAGAGGAATCTTAAGTTGCCTTTGGACACCCCATGGAACCTGGACTGCTCCTGAAAAGGGGCTCAGACCTTGTGTTGTGAAAGCCCTCCCAACCTCAATATTTTGTTGTTGAGGTGGAAATCAAGGGGGGATCCTCTAGATTGTCATGAGATTTTGGTTCATCAGAGCGGTGTGGGCTGATCTTCTTTTTTTTTTTTTTTTTTTTGTGGTGTGGGCTGGTCATGGGTGTTGTGCTCGAATCTTGATGAAACACGAAACGGCATAAGTTCTGTATGCTGGATGTGTGTGACGCTGTGTTATACCTGCGGAGATGGGTGATGATGGAATGATTCCATCTCGTGTGGGCGATACCTTTGGGCGTGATTGCGGCGAACGCTCTCGTCTGGGTGACATGTGGGTGAGGCACGTTGTAGTGGGCGACATGTGTGTGGTCGCCGTGACACGCCCTCTAGTGGGCGATGTACCCAGTTGCCTGTCATCTGGGTAGGGGGGGGGATGCATTTGCTTATGGGTGACGATCAATGTGCCAGCCCAGTACATTTGGGTGTGACAGTGGGTGACGTCTGGTGGGACACAGCGTTCGGCGCGGTTCATACCCTTTGGGCGGGTGGGTGATAACTGTGGAGGCAGTTGAGATCATTCGGATGTGGCAGCCAGCGGCTTGGTGTGTCGAACGGCGAGCTGCGATTCTGTCACTAAGGCGAGAGAAGCAGCTAGCGGGCCTTGGCAGCCTTGTGAGAAGACCCGCAACGATGTTTTGACTTCTCTCCTCCTCCTATCTATTTGCTCGGTTGAAGGCGCGTGAAGGTGCTTGAAAATGTGAAGGGGAAACGACGCCACAGCTTCTTGACCACAGCTTCTTCAGGACTACCGGTAGTACAGGAAGGGATGGACGCGATTTGGAGGCAGCGGGTTTCGAATCCAGATGGAATTACCTTCTTCCCCCGAGTAAAACGTACGGTCACTATAGCTGGATTTGAGGCAATGTTCAGTCTATATACAGCTAATAATGACCCTTCGTTGTATTCGGGGGAAGAAGGTAGATGAATGAAATTAACGAGGTGTAGGTTGGATAACAGAGCAGGCGTGGCATTTTGGAAAAAAAAAAAGACGAAAAAAAAGCGATGTGAAATATCTGGGGTCGGTCAGTTTTTCACGATGACTTCTCTAGGCTGTCACCCGTTTGGGAAAAAAAAAGGACAAAAAAAAACACAGGTCTTGTAGATTTATTACCTGGTCGGGGTGTATCTACGGTGAAGAAAGAAGAAAAGAAAAAGGGAAATGAAGAAAAGAAAAGAGGAGAGGGGGAGGAGGGTAAGGGGAAGAGGAGAAGAACACAGCTGTTGTCGCCAGATGTGGGGAGGACTCTGCTCCTCTTCCAGAGGGCTCCAGAGGTACTGTGAGGTGCACTGCATGCGGAGGAGGACTACACTCCCCTTTCCGGGTTCGGGGCAAGTATTCTTGTTCGCCATGCGGGAAACGAAAAGACTGGTGGGACTGGTGATCAAGCAGCTATATCAACAGATAAGATGAGATGGGACACGGGAGGAGATGACACCTGGCAGTCCACATGCACAAGAAAGAGAGGAGCCTTGAGTGTCTGATTACCTCGACAGGTTGGTGCATGTTTCGGTCACATTCATGCACCCTAGTCCTCCAGGTTGATGGATGCATCGACTAGACCCACCGGTTGCGTTGCGCTAATCTGGTTGTGGGTTGCGCTAATTGGGTCGTAAAGTGTCACCCTTGTGGGTGACATTCGGGGCCGGTTATTGGGGTGGGGTGGGGTGGGTGACATTCAGGTGTGGGGATTGCGGGTGGTTATTGGGGTGGGGTGGGTGACATTCAGGTGTCGGGATTGAGGGCGGTTATTGGGGTGGGGTGGGTGACATTCACGTGTGGGGATTGCGGGCGAGGGGAAGCTGCCGGAAATCCGTGGACGATGTTGATGTAATGCCTGGACATCATTTGAACAGGGATTTCCTGAACGTGGACGATTCATATGCACCACATGAACCTGAACGTGGTCCAAATGCCGACCAATGGGAATCATTTGTACCGTACGTGGACCACATTTGGACCAGTTTCATGCATCAACAGTTTCACATGCACCAGGTGCTGAGCAGTATATTGCAACGAATACATTCCAACAAGGTTTGTGCGGTGAATGAAACTGTTCCAAATGCAGTGCATGTGAGGTTCAAATGATTCCTGTTGGTNATATATAGTTATGTGACAATATATATATAATATATATATATTCCTGGCTGCCAGGGCAGCCCGGGCAACCACGGTGATCGAGGCAGCCTGGTTTCTTTCCCAGCTTTTGTATAAATAGTGGTTGCGGTGAAGTGGGTGTGAAACGGCCGTTGAGACGGAGTGCTGATAATAAGCATGGTATGAATAGTGTTTGAGCTTTGAACGTGTTGAGGTGACGAGTGTGTGAAACGGTAGTTCAGAAAGGCTTCTGATGCTTCTGCTCAGGGTACGTTCAGATGAGACGATGACTTTGTACCTGTTTTGCTGTCATATACGTCCAGGTGCGACTGTAAATGTGGTCAGATTCATTTCTGATAGAGCGAGTGCAAGTATTCCCTCAGTTAAACTCTGAGAGGGATGGAGCTTTCCGTGTATGACCAGAAGAACACTTGTCATAGTTATTAAGAGGAAATGCGGAACTGCCCCAACTGGGCCTTCGCTCATAATCTTGGATATCGCTGCATTTTAATTTTTAAGGAAGTTGCTGAAATGACTCGTACAGAAAATGAGCGTGGTCCTTGAAGAAAGAATGAGAAGCCCAAATTGAGAAATGTCGAAAATGTTTGGTATTCAAAAAGGAAAAAAAGGAGGCGGCTGACAGCTTGTGGGTATCTCATTTTGCAGGAAGTCTTTGAGCAGCAAAGGGAAATGGTCCTTGTCGGTGAGCGTCTGGTCCTGCAGACTCTGGGGTTCGATCTCAACATCCACCATCCGTACAAGCCCCTCATTGCTGCTGTGAAGAAGCTTGGGACTGCACAGAGCTTGTTAGCGCAGGTCGCCTGGAATTTCGTCAATGACGGGTAGGTGCACCCACTCTGTCGCTCCCTGATCTCGTCAGTCGCTCTTCCGCCTGCTTTTCATGTTCGTCAGGTGTTCCGCCTGCTTTTCATGTCCGTCAGGTGTTCGTCTTGTCGATGCACGACTTGGCGCTGTGAAAGCAACTCATAATGCACTGTCCTCTAGGCTACCAGACTGGCGAGGGGACCACTTGCCCGGCCAGGCCAAGAGAAAATTCAGAAAATTATGGGACAAAGTTCAAAGTTACTGTTAGTTTTAATATCGTTTTTTTTTTTTTGGCAAAAATTTCCATGTGACCCTGAGGTAAAAGTTGTTCAGTTTATTCAACTTTATTGTTCTGTGTAGCGTAGTTTTTTTTTTTTTTTTTTTCAGGGACCTTCCCTGACGATCGCCTGCCGGGGGCCGCTCGAGGAGCCAAGGTCACCTGGGGGGCCCAGTCGGTAGCCCAGACTGTCCTTGTGAATTCAAATAAATATACGAGTGGGGGATGGGTGTGCAGTGTGCACACTGTGAGATGTGATGTTAGGGATTTGTTGTGCTGGGCCCCAAGACTACATGGGTGGGTGTCTAGGCCATGATGGGGATGTGTAGGTCTGTTTCTAGGTTTTGAATGGTGGGGATGTTTCATGGCGTATTATCT